AAAAAAAAAAAAAAAAAAAAAAACACATCATAGTAAAATTAATACCTTCTCAGCTTCGCATCGCAGCTAAAAAATCGAATTAGTATTTTTGTCCAATAATATATTTTGACTATTATTATAGGGAATTATTAAATTAAATTAATTAAATTATAATAAAAATAAACTGATGTACCTTTTAGTCATCAAATTGTCTGGTAATTCTTCACTTTTAGTATCAATAAGTTCATTTATAGGTTTATTTTTGGTCTTAAATATTAATGACTGTTGAGAAACAAAGTAGTAGACTACAAAATCTAGTCCTAAATTTTAACTGTTTACATAAAAAATGTATAAAAAGTAGATTAATACTGATCATCTCACCACACAATCTTTTTATTATAGATTTATGATCCAATACGCTTATAATAGATAGAATATTACTAAGTGGTCCAATTTTATTCAATAAGTTTTCATCTAGAAAAAATATTTTAGTATTGAAGCATCAACTTACTTCATATTATTTTACATTACCAAACTTAATATCAATCAAAGTTTTAAAAAGCAGTAAATATTTAAACACTATAGTAAAATACACGAATGCAACAAATATAGACCAATACTTGGATGATTTTTCATAACCAAGATAGGCGAATATTGCAATCCATAAAACATAAATAATTGAAAATCCATCAATGTTAGTAGCTACAAGTATAACAACCCACATAAGAGTTATCTAGCAATAAAATTATATTTTATTACAAATACTCATAAATTATGGTAAAGTTATGACGTGTAAACAAAACAAATGTTATTACCTCAACACCAAAATATGTAAACCCTTCATTTATTATGCACATCAACCATTCTAAAAGTCCATCATTCATCTGCTGAGCTGAAATATGATAAAAAACCACTGACGGTATTTTTTCAGGGTAATATTTGAATTTCAAATGGACTTCTATAATTTTCCTTACAACCATTATAAATATTATTACTAGAAAAATAATTATTTCAATTCAAAAATTTAATAAATAAAACATTTCTTTTGTACAGATCATGTTAGAAGTCGATTTAACAAACATGAATGCATTGCTCCATTTTTGTAGACCGATAATTTCTGTCAAGTTAAGAATTTTTCCATCATTCTACATAAAATAACTTTTATTATTTATACTAAAATTTTGTACTAAATTCTAATAAAACAATAACAACAAAACAACTTTTGTTGGTATAAACTAGTATTATATTTACTTCTATATTTATGTTCCATTTACCATGTTCAAAATAATCCAGTTGATAAGTCGTTCGGAGTAATATTATAAATACAACAAAAAGAAAAATTACATTCGTCATACTTTTATAATCCAACAAAAACCACAACAATACCAAAATCATTAAAATAGCTGTTAGTAAGCATGGCTAAAATTTTAAATTTATTTAGTTATTAAAATTTTCTTGTTTTGATGTAATTATATTTCGCACGTCGGTTAAAATTGAGATAAAAATCAGTACTAATAGTCCTTTGAACAAATGTAAATAAACAGTTAATTCAAATATGTTAATATTTTTAGACTCTTGAATTGCTTCAGTATTTATCCTTAATGCTAATGTTTCTCTTTTTCTATTTATATCAGTACTTTTCAAAAAACGTTCATGGTAGTAATTTAAGTAAATTAAGATTGTAATAGAAAGAAAAACGGGAATGATTATTCGAAATTTATCCACACCAGTCAACACATTCAATCCGATGATTTTTTGTCTATAATAACCAAAAACCATCAATACTTAATAGAAGAATTTTTTTTTTTTTTGTATTCATTACAGTTTAAGAGATATGTACAGTTTGTGTTTTAGAAAATCAGAAAATCCTTGAAACTGGCAAATATGTATAATAGTTGTAACGACTATTGAATAAAAAATTGTCATGTTCCAAAAATAAGTTATGGTCTTCCGCCAAAAAGTTAAAGAAATCTAAAAATAGTCATTTAATATGTAAAAATTATGCCATATAAAATTATATTGTAATAATTTTTAAAAAATTTACTTGAAAACTAAACAAGAATACGAAAGCTAACACAATGTAACCCAAACGTATCAAGGTAAGAACTTGGTGGCCTATAAAACCAAATCCCATCATTGTTATAACTACTATGAAAGTCATTAAACATGCTATGTAATCGTATATTGGAGCGATCCAATTAAATGATTTAATTCGTACTTCTTCATAGTTTGAGAATTTAATTTGATACAACGAAATCCATATTAATAAGATCAGTAATGTCTTTAATCAAAACAAAATTTGTATACACTATAAAATCTATCATGTTAATAATTATTTGAGAATATTTACATTTCTGTGTGCAGTACGTGGACATTAAATCTATGCGATTAAGATAAGTGACTAAAATTAAAGATCCGTGGGTGTCTAAAACACAGATTGACATTTCAATAAATTATCTACAGTAACTTCTCAGCGATGTAAATATGTGATTTCACATAAAGGTTTTAAAATATTACACCTCAATAACTAAGTCTATGAGAAGTGTAATTGTAATATGAAAATATAAATTAAAAGACATCCTATAAGAAGTATATATAATATCATAGAGACATATATGGGTTCGAGATGTATCAAGTTTCATAAGCTTCTTCAAATATAATCCGTTCAAATATAATGTTCTATAAGGTGTCATTTTTTTCAATTTATAATTAAATTAGAACTTTCCATTTTTTTAAATTTTGACAACTTATAACAACTTACAATAGTTTTTATTATTAGTATTTAACATGTTAAAATGTCAACATTATTACATATTAACATAATTTAATTAATTAATTTGCGCAAAATATCACGACGTTTGAGATAAATTTTTGCACACAGAGATGTTTTATTATTATTGAAAACAAATAAATACATATTTTTAAAATTTACTTTAATAAGCATAGCCATCGAAAATTTTAATGGATTATCAACCGTCTGAACATCAAAGTTTATTGCCAATTCTGTTAAGTTTTGACCAACTACGGTCGAGAAATATTCAAAAAATAGTAAAATTATAGCATATATCATGACACAAATAAAGTACGTTCTTGATGTTTTTTGCATCCAACTTATCGTTGCCCATAGAAGAAGTGGTAATGTGAACCAACCAGGATAATTTATACTCCATATCTGAAACAAATTAACATAATAGTTACATTAAAAGTAATTTTTTGATAAGTTAATTGGTAGATTTGAGCTAAATAGGTCTCATTGTTGTATTGTAATACATACATCTTTCATTATTCAGTAGTTTATAAATCATTGTCTAGTAGTCATCAAATTAAATAAATATTATTAATTTTAATCGTTTAAACTTTTCCGAGAAATATGTACAAAAAATACACTCATAAAAATCTAATGTAATAACTGTAATAAATTCTTTAGTTATGACAAACATATATTTTAAGTAAAATAATGTGTAATAATTAAAATAATCGAGTAATAAACATATAATAATAAAAAGTCGTGATACTTTTTGCATATATAGATGGGAAAAATTTAATATAAAAGGACACAAAAACTATTAATTCGGCTCATTACTCCTTCACTTTTTGATCTTTCAATAAGTGCAAGAAATGGCTTGGTATACATTACAAATCTACAAAAAATTCGAAGTTTATTTATATTCAACCTTGCTTCCAACATCATAAGGTAAACTTACATTTCACAGATCATTTATAAGGTTTAAAGTTAAGTATAATGAGTGCATATATTATTTGTTTTTCTATATTTTACATCTGTTTATAAAACCTTCGTAATCATACATCCAAAGAGAATTACATTATATCATTTTATTCAAAAAACACAGTAACTCAATCATTCTCATGCTCATACAAATAACCGCCCAATCAAATATGTAAATATTATTATATATTCCATTTTGAGTTACTATAGTTGTGTGTAAAGAAGGCAGGAGATGAATAGCATAGGCTATCGGTTTGCTTTACGCAAATGACGTTGAATTTATATGTAGTACTCTATATAAACTGATTGACCTTGTGGCAAGAATTCATGATTCACTATATCATTAAAATCGAAGAACATAATGAGTATAACCTTCATGTTCTTTATCGAGCTTTTTTCGATCTTGACGATCCAGAATGCTTCCGTTGGCACGACTGAGCCTGAGTGTCGACGAGATATTAAAAAACTATGTTTCATTACCTATTATAGGGTCATTCCATTTGAAATCACCTAATGTGTGTGCTGGTATAGTTCAGAAATTAGATTAAAATATTATATCAATTAGATTGATATAATATTTATGAAAATCAGTTCAATCCCCTTTATAATAAAATAAAATAAAATACAAAACCAAGAATTTAAACATAAAAAATAGCATATTTTTGAATACGGTAGCTATTTTAATCATGATAACAAAATAAAGTCCGAAATTTTTTTTTTCCATAATAAAGTATATTAAATTATTTTTAATTTAAGATATATATAAAAGTGTCAGTATTACAGGACACACTTTCAAAAATTAAGTTGAAAAAGTTTTACTTTCTATATGCATTTTTATGTTTTGAACCCTTCCTGTATTAAGAGAAATGGTCCGATTTAAAAAAAAAGTATTTCGAATGAAAAAAGGATATAAATATTATTTCTAATAAAAAATTGTATTGATTCATACATTTTTCAAAAAGTTATAACATTTTAAAGTTAAAAATGTAAAATATAAAATCGAGAATTTTAACACAACATAGCATACGGTAGCCATTTTCAACGTGAAGACAAAATAAAGTCCGAAAATTTTATTTTTCATAATAAAGAATATTATATTCGGTTTAATTTAAGATATATATAAAAGTTTCAGTATTTCCGGAACACTTTCAAAAGTTAAGTTGAAAAACTTAATTTTTTATGAAAAAGATGTCATTTTGAATCCTCCCGGTGGGCTGGCAAAGGGTTAAATTTATAAAAAAAATATACCAAATGATAGGTAAGGACATCAAGCATCTATAAAAAAAAATTATATTGATTTGTTCATTTTTAAAAAAGTTATGGCAGTTTTAAGTAAAAAAAATTGAAAACATTTTTATAAATTAGCGATTTTTAAATTTGTAATTTTTTTGGAGATTTCCACCATTTATGGGGAACGAGTGAAATTTTTTCAATTTTTGAGGGTAATGTCTGCGACTAGATACGATTTGTGATCTTTTGACGTATCATTGAAAGAAATCGGTTCGGTGAGAGCTGAGAAAAAGTGGTAACAGACACAAAAAAAAAAAAAAAACACATCTTAGTAAAACCAATACCTTCTCAGCTTCGCATCGAAGCTAAAAACACATCATAGTAAAATTAATACCTTCTCAGCTTCGCATTGAAGTTAAAAATTGATATCAGACTTTCCAATCCCACGAAATTTATAAATTCCCGTTATCTTCTGAACATACCTAGTATTTATAAGCTTCCGACCATTAATATTTTTGGCATCAAAATACAGTTAAACATTAAAGTCTTATTTTCCTTTCCTCGCCTTTATCCCAATTACTTGTTTTCAGCCAACCTTATCTTAAACTTCTACTTGACACACACGATCTCCCACAACATTTACGTTCACATCACACGTCCTCATATCGTATTCAATAACGTCCCTCATATCTTTTTTTGTTTTCTTTTACCTCTTCTTCCTTTATCATTTATTTCTATAACTGTTCTTGCAGCTTCCGATTCCTCTCTCCTCATAACATGACCAAACATCCAAGTCTATTTTCTCTCATCTTATTCAAGATTGATGCTATACTTATACTTCCTCCTACATTATGGTCGTTTTTCATTCACTCATCCATCAAAGTCACATATCTTCTAATTTTATGATGATCGTATTTAACATAATCCTCATAGGATTTTAAAAAAATAAATTTTAGAACTTAAAAACTTGCCATTGCCATAATTACACCATTTAATATTACTTATTTTTTAGTATCAAATATTTTCTTACTAAACACAAAGTTTTTTTACCAGCACGCAGAGTATCTTTAAAGAGGAAAATTTCCTTTATCTTATCAACAAACGATTTGTAAAATAATGTAATTAGCTAACTTTTATAAGTCAATTTTACCAAGAAGAAAGTTATCATATAATCTTTTAAATTTGTATAATAATATTTATAATTTGTTTAATAATATTTGATCTATTAAATAATATTTCATTATTTAAAATTTCATATGTCCTAAATTACTCAAAAAATCTATTTCTTTTTACTTACAAGTATGGCTACTTTAGAACCAATTGTACGTACGCCAAATAAAATAACTTTCTTCATTTGCTTATAATCTAAAGATACGCATATGGAATTAATATAAGAACCTTTAATTTTACTTGATTCACTTAGTGTCTAAAATGTAATGCATTACATTATACCATATATTTTAAGTATAAATATTTGAAAATACCCACTTCATTCAATTTTTCCGTATAATCGAAGCAAAGCATATTATACTGAACATATAACAAAAAAGGAACTAAAAAATAGTGAATTTGAAGATCAATCACTTTTTTGGGCGATATACATTGTAACTCGTAAAAGGTTATTAATCCAATTTTTCTGAAAAATAATTAACAATTTAACTGAAATAAAGAGTGTGTAAAAAGTAATATTACTCAGAATTAAAATTATGAAAAGGACAAATAATTAAAAAATCATAAATGTGAAATATTACCTTACTACAGTTAATTAAATACTTACTTTACAATGTCAGAATTAGTATTAGTAATAGCTTGAATCCAATGCATTTGATAAAAAAATAACACAACGACATGGATGCAAGTATATATACCTATTGCTTTGAATATATTTGGAAAAAGTACAATTATTCTTTGACCTTTTAAGGCTATTAATGAAGCGATTAATACGAATGAAAAGTAATAAATAGTTGATAATATTGACGGCACAATTATTCCATTAAGGCAAATTATGGCTAAATTAAAATACCATGTTGAGAGAGTATTTTCAATATTCAACGTTGGTAATGAACTTTTAAATTTTACCGCCAATAACAAAAATATCGCTATTAAACTATCAGTGTACTCAAAATCTAGACCTAAATCAATTACTGGTATTCCAATGATTTGATAACCTATTAAAGAATAATATAATTAATTAAATTTTATTTTTGTATGAACTAAACAACTAACAAGAATAATAATGTACATCTTTGATCCAGTTCATTGTGTACAATGTAGATGAATAAATTAATTTTGTTATCAAGATAGCAAATATTACATAAGACATTATCATGATAAATTTTGATCCTGCAATAAAAAATTGATTGAATATAGAGTAGTCAACAATGTTTTGATAAATCTAATAACTTCTTATCTACCAAATATATATTTATTTTATTATTACAAATTAGGACTATGAGAATATCATCAGAAATACTATTTTTAAATTTATCGCAAACAACTTTTTTTAAAAGAAAACTTTTGGTAGCACAATTATCTTCAAATGTTTTGTAATTAAATTTCTACAGCAGTCTAACGACATTTCTAAACTAGATATTATTAGTACTTATTATTAGTATTCATTATTTCAAATAATTTTCAAATTTTATTAGATATAAATTATTTCTTAAAGAAATAATTTAGTTTTTTTTTTTATGAAAATTCAAACTGATTTTTTAATCGTCCAATCTGGGTCATTCCATGTGAAATCACCTAATGTGTGTGCTAGTATAGTTCAGAAATTTATGAAATTTATATCATAGACTTCTTAAAGGTCATTGACAACAAAAATAATATTTTTTTTTTTTATTATTGTTTTTTTACCAGATAGAGGATTTTTTATAATTAAAAACACGAAAAAACAGCCTATGTTCTAGAGCCTATAACTTCGCATCCAAATAAGCTATCACTGTGGAACTAGCACTGTTATACTCATATTAAATAGTACTTCAATTTCATTCTTAAGTTTATAAATTTTGAATTTTTTTGAACATCGAAATTTTGATTTAAATTTTTTTAATTTTGCAGTATTTTAATAGCAAAATTTGAAGGACAAAAAATTTTTTAATTAAAATTTTTTTTTTCTTTTCAGAAACTTTTAGTTATGTTCTTTTAACCGATATCATATATGATTCGATTTATAATTTTTTTTGTATCGTTTTACGATCTTGAACATGCAAGGTTTGCTGAAAATAGCCAACTTTATCATCTCATTACACAAAAGTGACTGAACACATTTTTTCCAAATTTCCATAGTACTTTCCTTTAGGCAATTAAAACGTCTGGTGAAAATTTTATGTTGGAGAAATTATTTTAACGCTACTTATAGAATTTACAAAATTTACAATTTGCGTATTATGGAAAATCCATAAACAACATAATTTTCAACACTCAATTTTAATTTCTTGTATTTATTCTGCGTTCTGTAGTATATTAAGTTATTGGGACTCATAAAAAAATCCTAGGAGCAATGGTTAAGTTCGGTAAAGCTCTATTACTTTTCTTCATAAAGTTAATTACATCAATAGATATTGTTGATTCTTCGACTACGTTTTGACAAGTTAAGAATTTTTCAAATAAATATACGCAAAAATATCTTTTTCATCTTCAGATTGAAGATGTAATGCCAAGTCCATATTATGAATATATTAAAACATTCATGGATTGTCATATTATTTGAAAAGCTTGAGGATTTATTCATGTTTGCATTGTTCTTTTATGATATTCAGTATGTCCTTTACTGGTATCATTGTGAATAACGAGACTACGTCGAAGCTGACCAAAATGTCTCCATCTTCCCAGTCGGTTTGTTGCAATTTTTCCATAAAATCAGTCGAGTTTTTTACATAGGAAGATGTTTTTCCAGTGTAGGATTTCAAAATTTGTGCTAAGTGACCTTCCAGGTTATATAACATGGAATGACCCTTCTATGAACGTATACTTTCGTTAAACGGACACGTTCGCCAAACGGATTCCATTGTTCTATTAGATATACGGCCTTCTAGGTATTGTTCCAGGAACGTTTATAATCCACGATTGTTTGCAATTTATTGTAGTAACATAAATAAATATTTTAAATATTAAATTTATACAACTTGATTTTTAATATTAAAATATTAATTTTTTATAACAATAATTTATTACTAATACATACATTTATAATTTGTAAATTTAATTTACTTGATGTGAATTCAGTTTAACTAATTCGCCAAAATTATAAAAATAATCTAATTACACAAATTCTAAAAAAAATATATTTACAATTACATACATGTTAAATTAAAAATTATTAATACACTTTAACACAACAATACTTAAATTTTCAAAAATATAGTGTTACATATATTTTATTTTATTTTATTTTCTTTATTCATTTTATGTTTAATTATATAATAATTAAATATAATTTATTAAATTATGTTATGTGTAAATTAATATATCAATCAATAATAAATTTAATAAGATTTTAGTTTTTAATTCGAAAAAATGCCACCCTAGGCCACAGTCTACCCCTAAATATGCCATTGTTTGGAAAAGTTGTAAACATACAAATACATGAATAATTTGCACAAAATACTTATGGCAAATTTTCAATAGATGGTTTTTAACGAGGTGCAAGGATGCTACATTAACCCGCTTGTCGTCTTATATAAAGTTCAATACCAACAAAATAGCTGTTATACGTATTTTGAGTTTTAATTAATATTACTGAGTAATCAAAATATAACATTATGCTTCAATTTATATAACATATTAATTGAAAAATGGAAATTAATTTATAATGGTGAATACATTATTTTAACATTCTGTATTTTATTTTTAAACAACGTAATATTGAAAACAAAAATATTACTTTATTCTGCACGTGTTCAAATAATAGAAGTAAAATCCCCTATAAATAAATGAATTATTATATATAAAATGTATACAGGGTGATCGAAATCGGGTAAGACACTTATTTTCTCAGAACTATTAAGAATTAAATTTTTTTTTTTATCCCTTCAAGGATAAAAATGTTTATTTATAATTTTTTTTTAATGGAAACCACTATTTTTGATTTGATTATATGATAGAAAAAAAAATTACAAACAATTTTGTTCTTATAATTTTTTTTATCCGACACAACCGTTTACGTTTTATAATTGTTTAAAGATTTTGACTTCCAGAAAAAATATTGTCATTTATTACGTTTCATAATATGGGTGGCAGTGCAACCGGTATTTTTGTTAGATTCTTTAAGGTGTGATTCCTATGACCGTGTCTGATGCGCGACGACGACCGCTTTGAGAGCAGTCAAATCGCACGAGCCGCGCGGCCAAAAGCTAAAAATATAGAAAAAAGCAAAAAAAACAGCCACAAAAATTACCTGCTCGTGGATTGAAGTTGTAATTAATATATTATTATTATTATTTTATTAATTTATTATTCATATTTTAATTTTCAAAGTTTGACATTTTGTAAACACCGTATGATGTCATGACTTAAACATCGCGCCGGCAGACAACGCAGAGAAACTTACAANTCGCGCCGGCAGACAACGTAGAGAAACTTACGAATATATTTGCAGTGTTTAATTTTTGTCTTGGTTATTATTGTGCCGCATCCTTTCAAGGTGCTTTATTTTAGCACCGGGACACATTGGGCCACCACAATTCTGCCTTGATAAATTTTTTACATAGATATAGATATTTCTGAATCTTGTTTTGGCCAGACCAGAGGAAAATTTAAGAAATATTGGTATCGATCTCTCAATAAAAAAAAATATACTCTCTAAAAAAAATACTTATTCAATAAACGTAAAAAAATCAAAATTGTTTTTATAATAAAATACAGAGTGTTTAAAATCTTTTACAAGTAAGATCAGTCTTAGACTTTGTGTAATTAAATCATATTATTTAAAGTCTTGAGTCGTTTTTTTGTAATAAATTATATAGACTATATGACATATAGTGTAAATCGTATACGTAGTGCGTTTAATACGGAAATCAACACTGGATTACTTAAAATATTATTGTATTACACAGGACGTAAAGTAAGTACAATTTAACCTATGCTTTCGAACTTCCAACAATCTATTGCGTGATAAACCATTAATAATTAATGAGAGAAACAATCAATGAGAAAATTAATTTAAATAAAATTGAAGACAATTAAATCTACATTAAAATTACAAAAACTTATAATAAATAATGATTATAATAATTTACTAAGTACTACCAATTTCTTTTTATATTTAACCTACGCTTTCTCATTTCTATATCTCTATTTTTCTATTTTTATTTTCTTTCTTTTTATTTTTGGTTTATTACAATCTATTATTGTTATCACTCATTTAGTGCGTAGTAAATTTTTATAGCTAATTTACCTGTCATAACTTGATCAATAAAATTTGGTTTATGCAACTGTAAATAAAAATAAGGACTTCTGTATTTAATACAGTAAAATGACAATAGAAATTTGGCCTAAAATCACTTAACTTTAACAAGCTGTAACGGATAAAAACCAATTAGCTACCTATTTGTAATCCCTTGTGTATTATACATGTATATTAATTCAAAAATTTGGAACTTTTAGTGTTTATATCTAATAAACAAATAAAGTTATATTAAAAATCAAATGTCATTTGCTATTAAATTAAAAACTCAAACATTTTATTAAATTTAAAATATGTGTTCTCATTTTAAAAAACTCAAGTTAATGTTTTTTAACCTTGAAAGGATGAAAAATATCATGTTTTTACTACATATAATTGTAGTGTAAACTCATACGATAGTGAGGAATAAAAAATAGATCAGATGATCTAGAGTTATGAGAGGGAACCCGTATTCCAATTAAAGCACATCATCTGAGATGTGGACAATTAATATGACCATTAAGTAGGTCATAAATAAATAAAACATCAAAGAGTTTTCTTCATAGATCTAGTGAATCTAAACCAATAGAATCCTGAATAGTACTTTATGAATCACTAGATATATTTGAATTAGATAAGAAAGCTATCCTCTTAAGAAATTTATATTGTACTCTATTAAGGTCTTTTGAATATGTAGAAAGATTTTGAGACCATATTATAGAGCCAAAATCCAGAGTTGGTCGAACTAGGGAACAGTATAATGTTTTCAAACTGGATGTTTTTTAAAAATCTTGAGTATTTCTGTTAATAAAGCCTAACATTTTATAGCATTTATTTAATTGTGAGTTGTGATGAAATTTATAAGATAAATCCGATTCAAAATGTACACCTAAATCTTTAATAACAGCTTCTCTGCTTAATTCAATATTATTTAATTTGTAATTGAATAGTATTGGGTTTTATGAACGAGTAAATGAAATTACTTTGCACTTATCAATGTTTAGAGAAAGGCAATTTTTAATACTCCACCAAAAAAATTTGTACAATTGTTTTTGTAATACTTCGACATCTGAAAAAGATTTTATTGAGCAAAATAATTTAGCATCATCTGCAAAAATTAATATATTAACGTCACTATCTATTAACTGTGGCAAATCATTATTAAAAACTAAGAGAAGTAATGGTCCTAAATGCGATCCTTGTGGGACACCTGATAATACGTGAAAATCAGCAGAAATATGAAAAGATAATTTTACTGCCTGAGAACGATTTGTTAAGTATGATGCAATCGATGAAAGAAATGTACCATTAAACCCAAAAGCTCTTAATTTAACTAGCAAAATATCATGATTGACCTTGTCAAAAGCTTTTTGATAATCCAGATATATTGTGTCAACCTGATAATTTTTATCATTTGAATTCAATAAATACGTTTGATAGGTTAATAGATTTGTTAAAACAGAATGTTTAGACAAAAAATCATGCTGGTGTGGACTTATATGATTAATTAAAATGTTTGTCAAATTTTTAGTAATAATGGCTTCAAATAATTTAGGAATAAGTGATAATTTTGATATAGGGCGGTAGTATCGAATATTACTTTTATCATCAGATTTATAAATAGGAGTAATATAAGATTTTTTCCAAATATTCGGAAAATATTCACTAGAAAGAGATAAATTAAATAAATAATGTAGTGGTTTGACTAAAATTGGCTTACAAGTCTTTAAAAATGACGAAGGGTTTCCATCAGGGCCAGTACCTGCATAAACACTTAATGAATCTAACATATCATAAATTTCATATTTTGAAATATGCAAAGAATTTAAATTGAGATTGCTCTCAACTAATGAACTATCATATAAATCAATTTTATTAGAACAATCTGTATAAACAGAAAAGAAAAATTTTGCAAATAATTCAGTTGTTTCATTGATATTTTTAAATAAAACTGTATCAAGATAAACTGTATTAGGTATATTAATTCTATTAGTTCTCAAGGACTAGACATAATGCCAAAATGATTTAGGATTTACATTTACACCATTTTCAATTTTTGTATGTAATTTGCATGAATTTGACTATATAGAGATTTGTATTTTTTCCGAAGTTCGGAAAAAGTTGAATAATCTTATTGAGAATTTGTTATTTTAAATTTTTTGTGAGCTTCTATTTTTAATTTTATTAATTTTCTGAGGGCTGGATTTGACCATGTGATGTTATAATTTATGTTAGGATTGAATTTAAATTTAGGGACATAAATATCAAAAGTATGCTAAATAATTTCATATAACTTATCGATAGACGAGTTTAAATTTAAGTTATTGAAATGTTGTATATTATCTATTTTTGAGAAGTGTGCACCTATATCACTTAGTTTACATAACTTAAAATTGTAAAAAATAGGAGTTAATGTTTTACTGGGAGTATTAAAAGATATATTCAATGAGCAAGTAAACTCTAAAGGGGGGTGATAGACATTATACATCGGTGTTAAAGATGGACCTTTAGATATGTTCAATATATTAAATTTAGATCTAATAAATTGTTATGAGAATTTGTAATATTATTACACTGTTTTAAATTAAGATAATTTATAAGACTATTAAAAGTAATATTAGCAGAAGTATTTAGCATAGGTTTATTGATTGACCACACACAACCAGATTAATTAAAATCACCTATGATTATTATTTCCGAAATGAAGTAAGAAGAAATAGTATCTTCAATTAAGTCACAAAATGAAATGTAACTTTCTTTACTAGTATTAGGTGAAAAATATACAAAACTCAATAAAACTTTTTTATTATTATAATTTAGTAAAACAAATGTATAATCTATATTATTAATATTTTCTGAATGTAAAAGAACTCAATTAAATTTATTACTTATAGCTATTAAAACGCCACCCCCCTTGTTTCACGACTTATATCACAATCAGATCTAAAAATGTAATAATTAACTAGTCCTTGTTCAGCATCACTAATATTATTATTAAGCCACGTTTCAGATAAAAACAACAAATCACACTCAAGGTTATTTACAGCATTACGAAAATACAATAGTTTCGTTCTAAGACCTCGTACATTTTGATAGTTAGCATGTAAGTTTAAAAGTTGTTTTGTGAATTATAGTCATTTTTTTCGGATGTTTGTATAATTTTTGGTACTCCTTTAACAAATTTTATAGTTAATCCAATTTCACCATTTGAAATACGCGTTGATAATTCTCCCCGAAGTTTTATTAAATTTTCTCTTTGATATTTAGTACGATCCGAGTTTAAAGAAATTGACGGAAAACAAGATGAAAACTTTTTTTTTATTTTTAATGATATCAAACGATTCAGATACAGAATTGAATGTAATCAATATAGATCTAGGTTTATTAGATTGATAACGGCCAAGATGAAAAATTTTTATCGGTACTGGCACTGTAAGGTTAGGTTCGTTGATTATAGTGTGTAGAATGACATTTACCTAATCGCGATCATATGCAATGCGTGCTTCAGACTGATTTGTATCGCTTTCGGTGACATTGTAACAGATAAGATTTTGTCTTCACTTTGAAAATGGCTACCGTATGCTATTTTGTGTTAAAATTCTCGATTTTATATTTTACATTTTTAACTTTAAAATGTTATAATTTATTTAAAAATGTATAGATTAATACAATTTTTTTAGGAGAAAATATATATATATATATATATATCCCTTTTTCATTCGCATACTTTATTTTAATCGGGATATAAATAAGGAAATAGGAGATCATGTAGCTTTTGGAATAATCCACCAATTTTTTTAAATTAAAATTTAAAATTAATTTTTAAATGTGATTGGTTGGACTTAATTGAGAACCTATATATAATCGTTACTCAAAATCTGTACAATAATGAGATTTAATTACCTAGTTTATTCGTTATTTTCCTTTTTAAAGAAGGGAACCATGTGTTTGGAGGTATTATGAAATCATAATATATGACATACATTTACAAAAGAGAATATCTTATAATATCCTTATATTATAAGTTATAATATAATATTACACAGGATATAACTAAAGAAATGAGAATTGATGTTGCTTTTGTAATTATCCACCAATTTCTTAGAAATAACACTATCTACAGATTTGCATCGGAAGGTTTTTTATGATACATGACCCAACTGTGCCGCGACCCCACTGTGCTGGGATTTTTTAATTTGTATTAAAACAATTTTTTGTTTAGTCTGACATTTTTCGCATATTAAAAAAAATTTTTTAATTTAAAAACTTAATAATAAATTAATTTTACTAGTATATTACTAACTGATGGTAATCCATGATTTAGTATATTGAAATAGTGGATAACTCAAAATAAAAATTAAATAAACAGCGGTTGAAAAATTTTGATTCGAAATTACGCCTACAAAAGTAAAAATAATGTTTTTATTTTTTATTTAAAAAACATAAATCATATAATTAAAGTTAAAATTATCTCTCACCAATTATGAGACATGGCAAAAGTAATACATTAAAAACAACCCATGCAAGAGTTCCTTCCTTCATTTTCAACTCGTAGTAAAAATAATCATGTTCATATAGTAAAAAAAAAATATCTGATTGGTTACCTATAAAGAAAAAATTGATTTAATAGTGTGCACTTAAATAATATCATGAACCCTCCTCCACTATACTTTTCTAAACGTAGGTTTATGTACGCATATTTATGTTATTTAATAACCCTAGAATCAAAAGTAACTCCAACTCTCTCATTTTTATACAACTCTCAATCTGACTTTTTAATTTATTTAATTAATTTTTGAGTTACGATAGAACTGCAAGAACATTATATCGGATTTATAACATTGCACTATGTTTAAAATAATAATTGCTTATAGAACGTATCAATAGCAGCTAATACTGTAGTAAACGGCGTAATTCACTTAATGACGAAAAGAAGATCTGAACTCTATTGACTACATAATGCAAATTAGGAAGTTGATTAAAAACTTTTGTCAAAAAGAGTATAAATGAATAAATATAAACAAGTTGCAATGTAAAGTATATTTGTGTAG